TCTACTTGATTGCTGTTGGGATACGGGATGCAGCGGGTCTTTAGACTTTCACTTTTTGGTTGAAGTCATTTGGGGGCAACAAGTGAACAACTGTTTGCCGTGGGGTCAGCAGCAACCAAGTTTAGAAGCATCCAAAAAGGGGGTCTTGGGTGTTTAAACCTCACCTTCTGACCAATCAGCTTCCCTTGGTGCGGAAATATGGGCCCGGAGCGAGAAAATGCACCGGCTTGTCTTGGAGAGGTGGACACGGCCGAGGTCCCCGGAATTTTCTGGGCAGGAGTCGCGGGCAAAGCCTGCAGAGGCCTCGCGAAGAACACAAAAAGACCTGCGGGCCTTGACCAAGCTCAGCCCCTGGCCATTCATTTGTTTAAAGAAAGGATGGAACTTGTTTGTCTCACACGCCTCAGTTTACTTCTTTCCAAAACTGAAATAGGGTCTTTCCAGCTCTTTGCTAATGTTGAATCTATATGAATAAACCCTAGCGTGTTAATAGGGGTGTGTGCCTTAGTGGAACTTTTCGAGGGCCCCCACCCGCTACAAGCTGGGGTTGATTCGTATTGGGTCAGCATTAGTTGGGTGGAGACCGATGGATTCGCTGCTGGTTCCTGCAAGCGAGCCAAGGCACGTGGAGGAGCTTCAGCACAGCGTCAGCAGAAGGAGCGGGCCCGGTCTGGGAATGTGGTTGAAACCGAGTTGATCATTGGGTGTGTCTTTTTGTGAGGGTACCCCCTTTTCGCTTTTAAAGGGGACCAAACGGGAACTAACCATTTCTTGGTGGCTCCCAGCCATCCCCTTAGCTTTTTTTTTTTTTAAAAAAAAAAAAACAAATATATATTTTTTAGTGTTTATTGGGGTTTTCCATTCAGCCCACTAAAAGTTAGTCACTTTTAGCGGGAGATCTGAGGACAGCTCAGATTTTTTGGGGTCAGCTTCATTTGCTGAAATGAAGATGTTTGTTTCAATGTCCCCTTAAGGGAATTGATAAGATCGTGAACACACCAGTATGATTGTTGCAAACACTGCGCTTGGCAGTTTGTGACAGGAAAAGCCGGGAGGAATTGCCCGGCAGCCACCAACCGTTTGCAGTTGCCCGGAAGTGTTCTTCGCCGGCTTTTAGACAGGGGCGTGACGCGGGTCGTCTTAAGTAGAAACCAAAGGCAAACCTACTTCAAGCACCCAGATATGTTTTGCCCGCACCCTTTGCGCGTAAACCTCGCCTCTCGCCAAGGAGCGAGGTTCGCAGGGCTCCTTGGGCAGCAATAGCGTTTTTTTCTCGTCGGAAGCGTAGATCCAGGACTACTATAGTAGGCCACTGGGGGGGGAACCATCCATGGGAACACATAGAGGTAGGGATCGCGGAGGGTTGCCTACTGCAGCAGTTGGAAGCACGTCAAATTTTTGTCTAGGCGATTTCTCTATTGGGTTCTTCAGAGAGTCTTCGAACAAGTCACTGGAAGGTTTCAATTTCAAGCATTGTCCTTGGGTCATTTTGAGGATGTCCTTGGGAAAGCGAGCGAGCTCACCCATACGAGGGAAAGCCCTCCTGCTCAAGTCTGTTTCTCTTCCTCTTCCTGTTCTGTCTTCCGCTTGCTCTTCTTCTCTTTCTTTGGTATGTATTTAGCTCTTCATTGGTATCTGCATCTTCTCCTCTTCCCCTTTCAACCCTGTCTTCCTCTTCCTCTTCTTCTTATTCTTTATCTTTTTGTCTTTCGCGTTCTCTTTGCTTTGTCTTTCTCTTCCGTTGCCGTCTTCCCCCTCTTCTTATCTTCCTGCTCCGTCAGTGTGCCTTTCTCTTCTTCTTTCTCGTCCTGCGCGTTTCTCTTCCCCTTCCGTACTAATCTTCTCTTATTATGTATTTTCATGTTCCTCTTTCTAGTTGCCTTGCTATCTATTCATATTTAGTTCTTCTTTTGATTTTTTTTTGTGTTATTATTTCTTTTTTTTGTTCTTTCCTTCCTTCCTTCCTTCCTTCCTTCCTTCCTTCCTTCCTTCCTTCCTTCCTTCCTTCCTTCCTTCCTTCCTTCCTTCCTTCCTTCCTTCCTTCCTTCCTACTTTCCTTCTTGCAGTTTTCCCGTTTTCTTTTTACCCCACGAAGGTGAACACCGCAACCCACACTGAGTTTTGAAGGTTGACCCTTCCCCCCCTCCGCCCCCCCCCCCCCCCGGGAAGTTTGCAAAGGGCTCCGCGAGCAAAGCAACAAAAACAACACCTGAGCGTTTGACGGACGACAAAAACAAAAGGCAAACGCCAACAAGCGTCTACCCCACAAAGTTGGCAGAGGCCTCAGTGCCGAATCATGCGCGGAGGTCAAGTCCGCTTCCGTTTGCTCGGGTTTCTGTGGTTTCCTAGCTTCTCACGTTTTCATCGCATACACTCTGAAAGAAAGCGTGCTCAATAAGTTTCAGAACCAGGGAAGATCTTGTCCAACTTGCTCCGGCAATTCACTCAGCTGTAAGGGCCATGTTTGTTGGTGGGAGTTTGTAAAAGGTTGCTCCGAGGCTCCTAAAGATGACAACACCCGAAGGGAAGAAGCTTGCTTTGGTTCCCTTTGCTTTCCTTTCACAGAAAGCCCAAAGTTGGTACCCTTCCAGGTTGTTTGGAGCAACCTGCCAAGAACATGTTCCTTCCCTCGAATAGGAACGCAGCTGGCTGTTTCCAATTCAAGTCGTTGGTTCCCCATTCTCTTTCATTATGGTTCTTTTCAAATGCCCACGTTTTTCCCGGGGTTTCTGGAGGTTTTCCAGAAAGAAGGATTCCTGAGGATGGGGGAAGGCACCCCTAGATCAACAATGCGAATGGCCCAAACGACCTGACCCGCCCAGAACACCAGCAAGAAGCCCGGCGTCCCGAAGTGGCTCGGCGTGGGTGAAATGCGGGCGAAACGGGGCTGAGGACGTGGCGAGAGGTCGTGTCTTTTTCAGGTTGGACCCCTTCAAATTGGATGGTTTTGAATTTCCCCCCCCTTCAAAACCACCAAGAAGGGCACTCATAAGTAGCGAGGAGCTTTCAGTTGATGCAAGCTATTTTGGGGAAATCTGCTCGCTGACCCTTTGGGTTGCGTAGAAAGATAAGCACTGAGAGAGGAGAAACCCTTGCATCAGTCACTGGATTGCGTTGCAATGCCAGAGTGGGGCGGCAACTGAGGCCTTGTTTTGCCGTACGCAGAATCGACCGGAAGGTTCCAGCCCGGGTCCGGCCTGTAGACTTGAAAGGCGACCAACACATTTAATGTTGAGCCGGATGAATCGACTCCTGGTTGATTAATAGGGTGGTGTCACCTTTTGTTGGGGTTTATTACTTTTGGAGGGGAAAAACGCCCCCAACGAATCTGCCCGAAAGGCGAGTTTCATGTTGATTCCCTGAATCAAACCTGTCAAGAAAAAGCAAGGCAGGCTTCGTGCTTCCCATTGAAATGTGCCCCGGCTCGAGTACTCGCTCGCATGTTTCCTTTGAATGTATCCGGTGTAGAAAACGGTGTGGATGCGATTCTTGTGGATTGCACCTGTTCTTTCCCTGGTGCTTCTCGTTTTAGACTCTTTATCCTCATGGTCACATCCAAACCTTTGAGGCCTGATCAACTAAATGATGCCCCTCTAAACTCATTACATTGGGTATGTTATCCACACCAGCTTGGGGGGGTGGAAGAGCGCATTTTCCACATCATTTTGGGGATGCAAGGGCGCATTTTCCACATCGTTTTGGGGATGCAAGGGCGCATTTTCCACATCATTTTGGGGATGCGAGGGCGCATTTTCCACATCATTTTGGGGATGCAAGGGCACGTTTTCCACATCATTTTGGGGATGCGCGGGCGCATTTTCCACATAATTTTGGGGATGCAAGGGCACATTTCCACATCATTTTGGGGATGCAAGGGAGCATTTGCACATTTTCCACACCAGTTTTTCGCGCCAGTTTGGGGATGCAAGCGCGCATTTCCACAACAGTTTGGGCGGGGCTGAGCAGTGCACATTTTTGGGACCATTTTTGGGATGCAAGATCACATGACTCCATGGGTCCAGGACATTTTGCATACAAGTTTCGGGACGCAATAGCGCATTTTCTATAGTAATGGCTTCAAACCAACCACCAAAGAAGCTCCAAGTCCCTTCTTGTTTTGGGGATCATATGTTGAAAACCCTGGTTTGTTTTGGTAAATACCGTATACCCCTTTCAGTGGGGGTTAAAGACGGAAACTGTCACCAAATGACAGAACTGCATCGATCTCCGAGCATCTGGCTTTGGGTTGATAGACGTTGGTTGTTTTTTGGAGAGAAACCTAAATCGTATGGACCACCCGTATGGATATGAATCGATATGAGTTCTTAATTGAACAATGGACATTGCCAGCCAACGGGATGAAGGCCCGCCCTCTAGGATCAGAAGCATGCTGTTCCATTATTTGCTTCTCCCTAATTGAACGGCTGGCTTGGCCAGCCAGTGGCGGAGGGATGAGCTCAGGTTGTTCAATCATACGCCCCTCATTGAAAAGAGGAGCACGCGTTTTGTCAGTTTCGGTTCGAGCGCGATGCAGAGCGGGATGGCGCAGCTGACCGAGAAGGACATGCAGGACTGGTGGTTTTGAAGTGTCAGGGACCCGAGTCAGGGAGATTGTGGTAAGTGGCCCATGCAGCTTCTTTTTTGAAGGCAGTTCCCAGTTCTACTAGTTTTCCTGTTTTCCTTGAAGCCAAGCTTTGGAACGCAGTCCAGTTGTTTGGCATTGAGGCCTTCACTTGTACGTTGCTCCGCGGCAATCTGGGTGTGGCTCAAAATTTAACAGTAGGGGTTACGCAGGTTTTGGTCCATGTTTCCACTTACCAGGGTTCCATTTTGGTTCCGGAAGCTTTACACCCAAAACCACGATGAAAAGCAAGCGGTGCAGCACGCCACGCGGTAACAAGGCTACCGCAAACTACAACTTGGTGGTAAGAAGGCCAAGGCCAGGTTGGTAGCTACAAGAAATACCATAGGCTAGACTCTAGGCTGCCAATAGGCTTTATGGAAGGGCTGTTTTGGGGCATGCAGATGTGTCCTGAACAAGCTCAAATGGCTGTGGCTCCGTTGCAACGAAGCCATGGCTTCGCGGGAAGATGATGAAGAAGCTCATGAAGAAAGCAGAGAAGTCTCGGTGTTTGGCCGGGGGACTGGTCGCGACAGGTCGTACCAGCAGCTGTGTTTGCTGGCTGCTGTCGGGCGTGCTGCCCGCGCGAGATCACGATTGAAGAAAGCACTTTGGCCCGTTTGGCATAGGTTTTTGCTGTGTTGATTGCTATGTATAGCCGCATTTAGCAGTGGGTCTTGTCCTCGAGCTGTTGGTGGCTGAAGGAAACGAACGAATCCACATGAACTTGTGAAATATTTATTTTCATATGGGCTTGTATCAAAACATCAGGGGACCGCATGTGTCCTGGTTCCCACATACCGGGGTTTTCCATTTTGGGTACCTAGTTCTTAGTCCACTGCCGTACGTTGTCGTCATTTGTGGATTGATACGGGTATGCTCCAGGTCAACATTTGGCCGCGTGGGGATCGCAGGCTTAGTGGCTTAGTTTAAAAGTTTTGGTTCCATTTCCACAGTCGTGCGTTGTCTGTGCCTTTATGCGGCATATGCATATGTAGGACCGTATGATTCCGTATGATACGGGCGCGAATCAACATCAAACCCAGCGGGTCACAGGTTTCAGTTCTTGTTTCCAGGTTTCCACTTTCCAGGGCCCATTTTGGGAGGCTGCAAAAGCCTACTTCAAGAATGAAATGGCTCACACGGCCACACGTCGCATAGCTCACTGATAACCCCCAAGCAGCCCAAGCAATCCTTGAGTTGCGGCACGCGAAGGCCAACGAGCAAAGAGCGCACGCCTTGGTGGAGTTCACGGAATCTATCAACATGGTGAAAGCGGCGCGAGCTCCTAGATTGAAAGTTGTAGCCCGTGGCGGCCTGGTAGTGCTGAAGCAGGGCAAGGGCGACCGGTCTCGCTATGTCTTGACTTTCCAGGAGATGCTGCGCATGGCCTTCGCAAAGCGACGTTGTCGCAACGCTGCTGCTGATGCGTACGCGGTGTCACAACGCACAGTTCGCCGAGTTCTTGCAGTTACAGCCCATTGCATTTTGGAGACCCAGATGAGCCAGATGAAAGAGTTCGAGCGGTATGTGCTGTCCCACACGCCGGACTTCGCTGCCGCAGTGGTGATGTGGGACGAGACGAGTGAGAAGCTGTCACTCAACGCGGTGCATGGCACTGCCCGGTGCCAGCAGGCTTCCACTTGGCAGGTTTTGGTATCTCGTGTGCATCTAACTCTCGGGTGGATCAATGGTGTGAAGCTATACCGTGAGTTCGTGACACCTCCAGTTCCGTTGACAAGCAACAGCAGCGACAACGTGCATGCTGGCCTGTTCTGCCACCCCTTTACCAAGTGTTTGCTGGATGCTGTTCGCAGCATCTTGCTGGCTGCTCGGAAGCGCGCCGTTGTTCACGAAGTTGACGGCCACCTGGCGAACGAGCGCTTGCACTTTCACCGGTACGCGCTTGAAAAGGAGCGGAGGGCTTCGAGCCCATCTGAAGCAAAACCAGTGCTCACAGACATCATGTTGTGCCAGAATCACCAGACCAATCTGGTGATGACTGCTACTGTTGCCAATGTTGTGCCATCTGCTGACTCTGGCGGGAAGATGCTGCCCAACCTATACTGCACTACGCTTTTTCTGCGCATGGGTGGGCACTTTGTCCGGCTTTTAGCTTCGTTACAGTACCTGATCGAGTCGGAGTCCTTCTTTGAGTGGAGACCGTGGTCTTGCGAGCCGCAGCCCGCCGGACACGAGTACCGGGCAGAGCTGGCCGCGTATCTCATTGACAACTTGCGGCATGGCGATCGGCAGATGTCCGCGTCAGATCCAGGCGACCGTTCAGTCGACCGTTCAGTTAATCGATCGATCGACCGGCCGATCAACCAAGCAATCATCCAACCAGTGACGAGCAAGCAATGTGTGACCAAACAAGCCATCAGACAGACATGTGACATGTAAGACGACTCTAAGACTCAATCTCAATCAGATTGACTCAGATAGACTCAATCAGGCAAAGAAGAAGAACAACTTGTACAGAAGCCTAACGCAGCCGGGCCCAACGAGCCAGCTAAATGAACGAAGCCATCAAATAGCCAAGCGAGCGAAAGCAAAACTCACCTGGCGACAAGCAAGCACCCGCCAAACACATGAGTTGAGCATGAGTTGAGAGGAAACCGACCCAATGACCAATGACGAATGAGAGACACGGTTCAACAGAGTTAAACAGTTTTTAAACAGTTGAAGCAAATCAAGTCGAAGCAAACCGAATGAGCCACATAGCTTGGTTGACTTTCTGATCGAGAATTTGGGCGGATATTGCGTTGCTCTCAGAGAGGTTTTGCCTTGCCTGTGTTCATGTTATGTTTTTCTGTTGGGGGGGGGGGGGGAGGTTGGCATAACCTGTTGCAAACTTCATAACTTCCCTGATAGCTGAGCTGTCTGGCAGAGGCTGTTCACATTGGCCTTGTTTGGGCTTGGCTTGGCCTGGCCTGGCCTGGCCTGTTGGTTGGTTGCTGTTTTCATTGTCAATCACAAAGTACAAGTAAGTAAGTCGGTTGACATCCTTTGCCATGTTCAGCAGGCCCGGAGCACTAGCTAACATCGACCAATAGCCGTCCGATTGCTCGCTCGTTATAGCCTTCATGTCGAACCCAACCGCTCGCCCTGGAGCTGCCAAAGTGTGCTTTGTGTACTAGCTGCTACGCTCGTGCTGGAAAGTTGCGACTCTCGAGCCGGAGCTGCCGCAGCCTACTCAGCGCGTTACACTTGCGGCGCGACGTTGCGACGCTGCGACTTGCGAGCAGGAGCTACCAAAATGTACTTTGCGATCGGTGCAGAAATGTTTTGTTTTCGAGCTGGAGCTGCCGAGCTGTGCTTCGCGCCCCGCAGTTGTGTTTTCCAGCTCGCGCTGGAGAAGCGCAGCAAGCTGACCCCAATCACCCGAAGTTTCAATTGTGACCAGTGCGCCTGTGGTAGCTTCCGGCTCGCAATCATCGAATCAAATTGCTTCTTGGTCCCTGGTTCTTGAAGAGTACTTTCATAGGGGGCCCGGAGCACATGTCAATGTCAATGTTATAGTCAATGTCAATGTCACTGTCACTGTCTTTTTACGGTCTCACCCAAACATCCTTGTTCACGGCTGGCTGCGCAGGCCCGAAGACTTCAGCGTGGCGCCAGTCAGCTGAGAACATCAAGGCTGCGTTCAACACTGTGTTGAACGGCCCTTCCTGGGAGCGCCATCGGCTGTGCCACATTTGCATTGGTCGCTGTTGCAGAGACCGCAAGGAGGCGGAAGGCAAGGTTGTTTGGGCGTGCGTGCGGGTCTTGATGCGCAAGATGCCAGTTGTTCCCTTAGTTTCAGATTGGACAAAGCTGATGCCGAACATTGATTTTTTCCTATCAACTGATCATCAAGGACTCCTGTCTTCGTTGCTGGCGCAAGCCTCTTGGGCATTCAAATTTCCTCAGAAGGAACCATCTATGGGGGAAGACGGTGGTGATGGCGATTCGGGCAAGGTGGATTGGCACGCCCTCGCTGGCAGGCGATTCAGGCGATGCCGCCAGATGATGGAGTCAACTGACGAGCGCTGGCGGCGGTCAATGCTTGCAGTGATCCTCGAGCCGCTTCGACACTGTCATTCCACTTTTTTGAAGCACGCGCATAGCGCTGCCGATGATGAGAGCTGGCCTCTTTTGTTTGACGAGCTCTGGCCAAGCAAAAGCAAGTCTGTGGGAGCGCAGCAGTATCTTTCCACGCTTCTGGCTGGAAGTGGGTCCCGCTTGCGTTTGATCTGGCAAGTTCTAGGACACCAGAGCATGGAGCAGTGGATGTGCCAGCGGCCGGAGCAAGCAAAGGAAGTGCGCTCGCTGATGCTCATGGTATGTATGCTGACTCAGCGACGCTATGAAGCAACTGTGAATCGGTGGCCTTGGAAGTTATTCGCTTTGGCAGATCCCCGCCGGTCGGACCACGAAGAAATGTTCAAAGCCTTCTTCTCCTTGCCCCCATGTTGTTTGCCGGCCGGCTTTGCTCGTGAGATTCGGGAAGATGCTAGTGAGGAAACCTTTTTGGCAGAACTTTTGCATTGGCGATGGTTCTTTGTGAGCACAGCCATGCTTTTGAAGTTGAGCGTTGCCCATGTGGAAAGGCGGCATGCAGTGCACAAACGCAACGCCAATCCGCAGATGCCTTGGGAGATGTTCAGTGCCGACAGCATCCTGTCTGAAGCGACGTATGTAGCAGGCTCCCTGGACCGCATGCGTAAGGAGAGGGCTCAGCGGCAGGCCGGCTGCCAGGCTTTGAGCGGCAACCAGCGCCAGTCAAGGTGTGATGCCCTGGCGCTGACAGACATCGCGCCTGTTGCCAACCCAGTACCCAGCGGGAGCAGCCCACTGGCAAGCATTGGCGTTGCGGCTGTTGCTAGCCCAGTGCCAAGCGGGAGTGCTGCGCCGCAGCGTGCAAGATTACGTGCGCAGAACCCCTTCGAACTCTTCAAGTGGGAGTGGTTGCAAACTCAAAAAAAGATGGGGAAGCAGTGGAACCCTGCCTCAAAGGAGTTTTACGCAGCCGTTCGAAAGGATTTCGGGGAACTTTCACCGGAGAAGCTGGAGGCGCTTGGACAGGCAGCCTCGGCCAGCAAAGTTCGTGCAGCATGCGTGCGACGCCAACTCAAGCTTCAGGCAGCAGCAGCTGTCCCGCCAGTGGAAAACTTGGCAAGGGCTGGCGGCCTTCAGCAAATTGGAGACGCACCGACACCGACACCGACACTGATTCACTTGGTTCAGCCGCCGCCTTGTGTGCCAAACCCCAGCCAGCTTTCCAATGCCTTGAGTTTGCCCCAGCTGGAAAGCGGTCGACCGCGACCGCCGTACTCCAAGCACATGGCATGCTTTAGCTTGAGCGCCCCGTTACTACAGCAGGCTGCAGGACAGGCGCAGCACCTTGAGAAACAGACTTACCCTCTATCGCGTGACATCTTAAAGCAGCGAATGGCTTCCAAGAGCTACAAGTTGAAGGCAGATTGCGAGGCCTTTGCTGCAAAAGCTGCTCACATTGCCAGCGCCGGGGGTCTTCCGGCTCAAGTTGCGTACCCTGCCAAGTGCGGGGCGCTGTGCAGGTCAAGCACATCTGCCAGAGTGCTGGGTTTCCACAGCCGGGTTGTCAAGCTTCTGCTGCAGCTCGTGACAGAGCTGTCTCCCGATCGCAGCTTATCATTGGCTCACCGGGCCAACCTGTTGATTGCCGCTGAAAGCTTTGCCAACACGGACGATGAGAGCCCCACGAGCGTTGACTTCTTCGTTGTCGCTTGCGCGGCTGGGCGGCAGGCTCATCACCCTGCGTCTGTGTCACTGGCAGAGCTTTCCCACGTGTCAGGCCCTGTCCCGTGGTAGCAATGATTCTGTGTGTTTTATTGTTTCTGTGTTTCTGTTGTGCTTACCCGTTCTGCAGAAGAGTGTGTGAGCATGAGGTAGGGCTGGCTATCACTGTTGACGACGTGAAAGAACAACAACATGTAACAGTTCTTAACACTTTATTGCACATTGCCTGACGCTCGTTTGAACCTGAGGCTTTCCCACCTTACGTGCCCCGCATCCACCATGCAGGGCCGCTGATCCTCAAGCATGCTCGACTTCCGTTTGCCCAGAGTGTCAAGAAATTGCGACCGCCCCTTGACCAAGCTGACTTTGGGCGGTTGAAGTACTTCAGTGAGGATGCGTTTGCCGGCAAACTGTGCTCTCCAGGGCAGTTGCCCGGCATGGAGTGCGTTGCAAAGATAGGGTTGGTGCCGCTGACCTGGAAGTTTGCGAGTGCCTCTGGCTTCGACTCCTATGTCATTACCGGCCTTCACCAGCTGGAGACAGAGTACATTGCCCAGTGCGCCCTGGTACTGCAAAGTGCGTACCCGAAGTGGCCCAATTGAGGGAAGGAAGGGGGCCCTCGAATCGATCTCAAGACTGTCGTGCGCGCAGGTCCAACGGTGCCTTTCTTTAAAGCTGAAGCTAGTTTTCCTATTTTCTACTCAAAGGAAGTTTAGCCAGACAACTTCCGTAATACGAAAACAACTGTAACTTCCTGCAAAGCAGAATCAGAATCAACAGATAGAGCCCGACCGAATCGCGAGGGGCACCTCTGTTCAGCGCGCGGTCTTGCCACGCTCTCGCCACGGGCTCGCCATGGGCTCGCCACGGGTTCGCGAAGTTCCCCAATGGCACGGCCGCGCAGATGGTTTCGGAGGTGCAAATCGCGTGGCAGGCGCAGCGCAACCTGAGGTGCAGATGTCGTGTCAGGCGCAGCATTCTGTTCCCACGCAAGCTCAATCAAGTACAGATTTCGTGGCAGGCGCAAGACTCGACTTGTGCAAGGTGAAGTACAGGTTTCGTATTCGTGGCAGGCGCAGCACTTCCGCAAGGTGAGGTGATAAATACATTATTCATATTCATATTAATCAGTAGTTCATTAGTTGATAGACTCTGATAGACAGATAGACAGATAGATAGTGAGATAAATCAAATGGAAAGATACGAAGAGAGAGAGAGAGAGAGAGAGAGAGAGAGAGAGAGAGAGAGAGAGAGAGAGCAACAAGAGAGACGGAGGCGCAAATCCTGTGGCAGGCGCAGCACTCTGGCAGCCTGAGGTGCAGAATTTGTTGTGGTAGGCGCAGCGTTTTGTTCCCACGCAAGGTCAAGTAGAGATTTCGTGACTGTGGCAGGCGCAGCACTTTCGCAAGGATAGATAGATAGGAAAGATCTTAGATTAGATAGATCTTAGACTCACTTAGACAGATAGACAGATAGATTAGTCTTAGAGATGGATAAATAGATAAATCAAATGGAAGAGAGATAGAGAGAGAGAGAAAGAAAGGCAGAGAGATACAGAAGGAAAGAAGGGGGAAAAAGAAAAGAAAGAAAGAGAGCGATAGAGAGAGAGAGAGGGAGAGACAGACAGACATATCATAAATAAATACAGAAGAAATTCAGAAAGACCAGAAAGAACGAATCTCATAAAACAACATAAAAACGATAACAGCAAGCAAGGCAGAAAGAAAAAACGTCAGAAAGAAAGAAAGGAAAAGATAACGAAAGAAATAAAGAAAGAACGAAAGAAAATAACCGCAACACCGAAATAAGGAAACAGTAAAGAGCGAAACAAAGAGATAAATGAAGGAAGAAAGACAGAAGATACAAAAAACACAGATAGAGAGAGAGGGAGAGAAAGAAAGAAAGAAAGTCCTCAGATTGGTGTAGAACAAATCTAGTCTAGTCATTGTTTCAGGGTCGCTTCTTCGGGGTCTGGGGGAGCAAGCGCCAGTGTAGGTAGAATACTAACACTGACTAATACAGACAGTAACATTATATAAGTTATAATATTCATATATAGACTATGACTATAGATGGCAATATATTCAAGATATTGGTATATGCTACACGAGTCGGGCGCGTTGCTTGGACGACTTGAAAGGGGCCAAAACAGAAAGGTAAAATTGAACATTGTCTTGAGTCTTGAGTATCGAGTCTTCAAGGTTGTGCGAGGGATGGGTCAATTGAGTCAATTGTGGTTGCAGCAGAACGTAATGTCACAACGGTGAACTTGTGCCCAGGTGAGGAAGAGCAGCTTCCAGTAGCAGACAGTTCTGACGCTGACTCTTCTGGAGCCAGCGATTTTGATATGCTAGCGGACTTGCACACTTCTCGCGTGGCGAAGCCCGCTCGTGCTGCACAGCCTGCGCGGCCGGCAGCAGGGCGCCCGGCAAAGCGGGCCAGGCTCGCCCCTGACACTGGTGGGAATGATGCTGACGCGCTCCCAATTCTGGCCGACGCAGGCAATCCTTTGCTTGAGTTGCAACATGCTGCGCAAGGTTCTGAAGGCCCGGCTCACCTCCTGACAGCCGACGAGGCCGTTGACCTTGAGGCAGACTCGAACATTTCTTCAGCTGAGAGTGTTCCTGGCGAAGAGCCTGCTGTGAAGCCCCCTGCTGGCTGTGCTGACAGTGCTCCGAGCAATGCAACAGCAGCTGCAGCGAGTGCCAACAATGATGACTTTGATGATTTGACATGTTTCCTGGATGTCAGCAACGATGACTTTGACGACTTGACATGTTTCCAGGATGACGAACCCACCAACACCAACCACCTTCCAATGGGCGACGTTCAAGCCAGTGCCTCATCAGGCGCTCAACCAAAACCTTTGCCTAGCAACCAGCCCAACCAGTCCGCCTGTGGCAGTGCTTCTCGGATCTATGATCGTGGTGCGTGGGTTTTTTGGAGCCATTGTGGCCGGGACGTTGGTCGCCTCCATGTTCTCGGCGGCTCCAGCTTGAAAGCAACATGTCGGCTGCACAAAGGTTGCGTTTGCGCAGTTTCCTTGGCAAGCGCTGGCTCCAAGCGAGAGCAGGATTTGGAGGATTTGCATGGGGCAGTGCCAAATCTAGGCACCATCGAACAAGATTTGCTGGCTTGGCTTGAGCAGGGCCTGGACATGGATACAGAAGCCCATGCTCGGTCGGCCAGGCAGCTGAAAGCTGCTAAGCATCTCATGAGAGTGCGGCAGAAGTGATTCGAATTGAAACAGCTTGGAAAAGTTTGTTTGCTGCCGCCACTTAGAATTCAGGAGTTGGCCGAATCAACAAATCTACCCACGTTTTTTTGACATACTGCTTGCTGTTGCCTGCTGTTTTCTGATTGCATGTTTTCCACAAACCTGTCCACATTTCCCACGCAATGTTCATGCTGCGGGGCAAGGCAATGTGGACTGCTTTACTTTAGGTTTGAGAGTTCGGTTGGACCTTGGAGGTAAATCAGTGACACAACATGGGCCCGCTTTGGCTTTGTGGAAGCACATGTGGTAACTTTGTGAAAAGTGTGGGCAACAAGTGTGGGCAACTTCGTGGAGAAAGATCATCTATCTGGGGTCGTGCGGCACTTTGTCCTCCAACTAGGTCCAACCAAACAAGCCCACACACACACTAGCACAAGCGCATGACTTTGCCATGACATTACCCTCAATGCCGTGCGGACATTTTCTGAGGGTTCTTGATGATCTTTGGGGCGTGTGTTGAAAAACCAATGGTCCACACCCGCGCAAGGGAAGAAAACCGCTGCAGGACATGCAGAGGAGCTTGCTGCTTTGGTGCGGCGACGTTCCGTCAATGATGAGGGCGGTGAACCACGACCTTGTGCCGCTCCAGAAGTCGCTCACGCTGGCGCGCTGCCTCTACGCGGACTCGCGGGACGACTCGGAGGTGATCGCGATCGCGCAGACTGCGCTGCAGGCCATGATCGACCGCGTCAAGACGTGCCAGCTGAACGGCGACTACATTCAGGGGGAGCAGCTGCCTCAAGTCGTCTCGCGCTACTACGCAAGCGGGAAGTGCCCCATGTCCGTCAAGATCAAGGAGTTCTTCCGGACGGATGACGCGCGCCATCAAAAGCACAAACAGCTCACACGTGCCTTCGAGGACTGTCCTTTCGCGCACGCGCAATCCAGCTATCCCAGTTGACAGCCCGCGAAAGCCATAGCCGAGCCAATTGATTTGATAGCTGTTTGAGATGGTTTTTTTTGCATATTCTTGATTCTGTAGTTGAACTGGTTTCCCCAACTCCGAAACCGTCTGTTTCAGGCCCTGCCCTGGGCTTGAGCATTGAGTCATTGAGCATTCAGCCTTCAAGAAACTTAGGCAGCTGTACAGAAAATGCGTTGCTGCACAACGGGAACCTTTTGCCGGACCGCAGGTTCCAGGGTTCAGTTTTGGGTTCCCATTTTTGGAAACCATGAGACTGCAGATTTGAGTCCTTGTTTCCATGTCCCAGGGCTGCAGGACGAAAAGATATTGATATCGACATGTGACATCGACCAATCGATATCGATGTTTTTCAAGTTGCAGTCGGCATTTGAGAGTCTATGGTCTATGAGTCTATGAGTCTATGAGTCTGAAAGCCCCTGGCCCTTGGTACCAGGCCCTTGGAGCCTATAGACGTTTAAATGATGAGAAACTTTTAGCAGGTTCTTGTTGTTTTTTTTCGCGTGTGTGAAACGTGCCTGCTTGACTCAGCCGCATGACACGACCTGGACATCAATTATGAAAGTATGTTCATTGATTAGTTTAGTTGCTATAGTTTGTAGCTTTCGTTCATAGGAGCCTGAGACATCCTGAGACTCAATATGACCGAAAAGGTTTAAAGACACTGCTCACTAGGGTGCATAGGTTTTGGGCACAGGCCCACGGGTGCAGGGCAATGGGGAGCTCTTGTTTGTCCGATGCTTTGCGTTTGTGCAGGGCATGGACGTCTCGCTTCGCCTGCTCAACGCGGAGGACTCAATGTTTCGGGAGCCCCTCTTGGAAGGGCGCATGGTTGACGTTTGGAGTGACCTCGCGGCAATCTTTCAGGATTTAGAGGTTCACCTGTATGATGCCACGCATGGGCGTGTTTGATGGGCGCGGAATCCAAGTCCATGTGCCAATGTGACCCAACGCCCCATGTCTTGCGAGCATGAAGTGGAAAGGATTGCTACCCAGGATACGATTTAGGCAAACGCCCAAGTGAGCCACATGTTGTCTGCAAAATCTCAGTCCTTGAAGAATCTAGAATCTAGACAGTTTGTGTTGGCTTTGCCCGCTGCTTGCTCGGGGTGTTTCACCTAATTCATCCCAACTCATCCCCCCCTTTCAGGGAGCCCCTTGTGCAAATTTGTGCCACAGCACAATTCGTGGCGACGCAAGTAGTAAAGCAAAGTTCAATTGACTGCACCCGAGTCGTGTTTGATTTTGGGGCGGCAGCCGCCGCATATCATATGGCTGCGCATGTACGGCCCATGCTTGGATCCCGCATCCTTGTGCAAGTGAGCCAGTCATTGACCCACGCGGCAATGCGCTTGGCGGCTCGCTCGTGTTGACCGACTGGGCTCAGGTGAGCGCAGTCCGAGTTTGTTGAGATTTGACATTTCAAGCGCTCGCTGCGCAAAACGAAGGTCTGGACTAGCACCGCTGGACGCCGTGTGACATCAGAGTCAGAATCAATACAGTTCTGTTGCTTCGACACCAGCCAGTCATTCTACCAGATATGGCATATCAGATATGGCGTATGGCCCTGGCTTTGTCCTAATCCAAAGTTCCCATTTCCAAAGCCGAAACAGATAGAACATCCAGGTGCCAACTCTATTGTTAGAAGGCTCTTGACCACATGTGACGTGACCTTTTGCTGGTGGATTTGTTTTGGGGAGACACGCAGGGGTTTGATTTCAGGAGTCTTGGAATTGCAGGTTTGGCTGGAGGTGCAGTTTAATGGTGGTGATCTTCTCCCAAAATTGTGGAAGGTCCCCCCAAAACAATGGAATCGTACTGAGGGGTGGCGGCTCAAAACAGCACCTATCTTTGGGTGCCAGCTGGGAAGGCTTCTCAGAGGAGGTGTTGGTGTGTGTGGCTGTTTTGCGGTCTCTCAAACGGCACCTATCTTTAGGTGCCGTTTGGGAAGGCTTGTCAAAAAGGGTGTTGCTGGCGATGCTGAGGGCGTTGCTGGTGATGCTGGTGGTGTATGGCTGTTTCGCGGTCTCTCAAACGGCACCTATCTTTAGGTGCCGTTTGGGAAGGCTTGTCAAAGCAGGTGTTGCTGGCTATGCTGAGGGTGTTGCTGGTGATGTTGGTGGTGCATGGGAGGTGTTTCTGGCGATGCTGAGGGTGATGCTGGTGATGCTGGTGGTGTATGGCTGTCTCGCGGTCTCTCAAACGGCACCTATCTTTAGGTGCCGTTTGGGAAGGCTTGTCAAAGCAGGTGTTGCTGGCAATGCTAAGGGTGTTGCTGGTGATGTTGGTGGTGCATGGGAGGTGTTTCTGGCGATGCTGAGGGTGATGCTGGTGATGTTTGCAGAGCCCTTTGGTCCATTGGTGGTGGGCTTGTTTTGGGGAGAGTTGGTTTGCACTGGAAGGCAAGTTCTGGCTGAACGCCGCATTTGAACGGGCTGTCAACTCATGTTTTCACTTCTGCGATGGTTGAATGAACGCGAACAAGGTCTCCATAATGTTGCTTTGAGTAACAGTAGCTTAAACTCTTAGACAATGTCAGTTAGAACAGTGATAGTATTAGTTATAACTAACAGACTAATGATATAACAATACTTGTTTTATAAGGTATAAGTGTAAGTCAGAAGTCTAACAAGGGGTGTTGCGCTTTAAATTCGCGCCTTCTGACTAAGTACAAAGACCTCCCTAACACAGCTGGATATGCTGTGTGCTTGTGCTTGGGACCTTGTCCTGCCCTAGCCTTTCCATTCCTGGTTTTGGCCTTTCAGACGTGCGGGCTCAGGGATAGATGTCAAACCCCTAGTGTCCCCGATGCTCAATTGGAACTTGTTCCAGGCAACACTAAGCCAAAAGACTGCCACGGAGCAACACTAGACTTGTGGCAATTGGAGCAACCATGCGCTCAGTTGGAAGACCCTTGGCCCTTGGCCCTGGCTTTTGAAACCACATTTTTATTGCGAATCAGTCCACACTTCCTTGCGTGCGGCTTGTGACTGAGTGTAGGCACTGCCTAGCCCGTGCTGACGCAGCTACAAGCCACTCCTCAAAGTTGGGTATGCTCCCTCTTCCTGGGGCTGCAAGAACATTGTGACATTTTGCCATTGGTGAGTCTTTTGTTTTCAACCATGATCAGCAGTTGTTGCTCCGCCCTATGACCTCCAAAGGGCCTTTTTCCAGAGATTCATTAGAAGGCGTGCGTGGCGGTTTGTTTTTTGGGTGCTTGGCCGCAGTGATTCCATGTCCAGGAGTTGTATCTAACCTTCATTCTGACAGAAAGTTGAAAGTTGCTATAACTTGGCAACCTCCCTTTCAACATTTGTCAAGCAGCAGATGTGTTCAAAAGATGCGGACAACTTGACGGAACACGTGGAGAGAAGTGCGAAACAAGTGTGGGCAGATTTGTTGAATCGTTTGGGCAACTTTGATGGGAAGCTGTGCGGTACAACTGTGGACGGCTTGGTGGAAATTGTGGGCAGATTTGCGGAGCAAGTGTAGGCAACTTTGTGGACAACTTTGCGGAACGTGTGGACAAATGTGCGGAACAAATGTGCAAACAAACATGTGGGCAGCATTGTGGAAAGTGTGGACATATGTGCGGAACAAGTGTATGCAACTGTGTGGAAACATGTGGAACATGTGGACAGATTTGCGGAACAAGTGTATGCAAACTCGTGGACATGTTGGCCGAAATTGTGGAGCAAGTGTCAGCAGATGCGCGAACCATGTGGGCAACATTGTGGAAAACGTGGACATAGTTGCAGAACAAGTGTAGGCAACTGTGTGGAAACGGTAGCTGATTTGTGACAGCAGGTGTGTGCAAAATATGTGGAACATGTGGACAGATTTGCGGAACAAGTGTAAGCAACTGTGTGGAAAAGTCTGGCCAACTTTTGTGGAAAACATGTGGACAAGTGTGTGGAAGATGTGGACATAAATAGTGAAAGAGTTTAAAAAAACAACTAATTCAGTTTCACAAAAACAACTAATCCCATCGTTTCCAACATTGTTTCCACAAATGTTTCCACATTCGCCAACGTGTTTTCCGCAAATTTGTCCGCATGTTTTCCGCAAATCTGTCCGCATGTTTCCGCAAATGTTTCCACATTCGCCCACACGTTTTCCACAAATTTGTCCGCAGGTTTTCCGCAAATCTGTCCGCATGTTTCCACAAATGTTTCCACATTCGCCCACGCGTTTTCCACAAATTTGTCCGCAGGTTTTCCGCAAATCTTTCCGCATGTTTCCACAAATGTTTCCACATTCGACCACGGGCTTTCCACCAATTTGTCCGCGCTGGTTCCACAAATCTGTCCTCACGTTTTCCACAAACGTGTCCACGAGTTTTCCACAAATCATTTTCCACAAGTTGGTTTCCACACCTCTTTTCGCATTCAATCTTCCCATGCGACCCCGACTGGCTTGTTGGATTTTTTGCCCGAATGCCCTAAGTACTTTTTTGGTTTCAATTTGCGCGCGTTTTGCGCGCGTTTTGGATCAAGGATTGCACGCCCAGGCCCGTGCACGTTTGTAATTTTCCAATCTACCCTTGTTAGTCGTTGTTTTTGTTCTCCACCTAGGCACTGTGTTTTTGCAAGGGGGCAACTGAGGCTGTAACACGGCAAACAAGGTCAACTGGCGCCACAGTGTTTTCGATTTGCGAGTGGAGGGCTGCAGTGCTCGCAATGGCGCCGCGCTCGAAAGGGCGCAGGAAGAGCACGAATAAGAAGGCCGCCAAGGCCAAAGCCAAAGGCAAATCCCGTGCCAAAGCGCGGCAGGGCTTGGTTGACCCCGAACCTGCAGAAGAGGCGTCTGTGCCGTTGCCTTCACCTTTGCCTGCAGGTGTTGGTTCTTTGGCTCAGGAAGCAGGCGCTGGTATTGACCCTGTGGGCGAAGAGTTTGAGGCTGAGTGCGAAAGACTCTTGGACTTGATGGTGGCCGAGTCGGACATGCAGTATTGGCTGCCACACACGCCGACACCCCAGCAGCCAGAGCCTGCGCCAGCTTACTGTTTTAGCTCACCATTCTACGAGCCATCCGGCAACCGGCAGCTGCAGCAGTGGCTTTCCATGGCTTTTCAGAGGCTACCTGATGACACCCGCGCTGAAGTCATCGGGCGCTTGGAGGTGAGTGCAAATAGTGGTGATGCCGCCTACTCAAGCATTGGCACAGCGTGTTCCGGCACAGATGCGCCCGTCCTTGCCGTGAAAGCATACAACCACATGTGCCGCCACCTCTTGAATCGGGATTTGCCGTTTGAGCACTGCTTCTCATGCGAGAAGAACGAGGCCAAGCAGGCGTTTCTCATGAGGTTTTACACCAACCTGAGTGACCCTTTTGAGGAGATGGACTGCTTATTCAAAGACACAGCTCACTTGGCGCAGGGTCCAGGGGAGTTGGCCCCCGAGGTGCGCACCGGCGAGCTCAAAGAAATTCCGGCGTGTAAGGATCTGCTGGCTGGGTTTCCTTGTCAGGATGTCAGCAACCTCAACCCAAACGCAGCAGACAATCGGTGGGTTGTGCATTTTGGTTGCCTCGGGCAAATCTTTTGCAAGGTGTTTGATTCGATACCGTGATTATGGGAATGATGGAAATTATGGGCCTTGCATTCTTGATTCCGTTTGACGTTTGAAGTACAGATTCAATTTGGTTGAAGTTGCCAGTGGCGCGCAAGTGAGGAAGGATTCATCCAAAAGAACAGGGAAGGTCTTCATGGACATCATGCAGTACTGCGCGGCTCTGCTTAAGGGGCCAAACGGGCAAGCCTTCGAGTCTCTCATCCTCGAGAATGTGGCAGGCCTTCTTGCAGCACCTCCTGGCCGCAACGAGGAGACCGGGGAAAAGTGGCACTCGAACCTCGACTACTGTTGCGCCGCCATTCGCGCTGCAGGCATGATGGTGGTGCCCTTCATGCTGGATCCCCGCAATTTTGGAATGCCTGTCACTGAGCCTTGAATAGTCCGTTTACGGTTTATTTGCTGTTTACGGTTTTACCTGGTCTCCAAGCTGCAAGCCCTTGTCCTTGATTGAGTGAGAGTCACTGGGTTTTCAGACGCAGCTCAGCCATGACTTGACTCATGCAATCCTTCCATTAGATCAAAAGGGGTCGTCTGACATTTGTTGTTAAGAAGGAGTGGGAGAAATGCAATGTCGAGAGTCGAAACCCATTGCTCGAATTTTGCTGATGCGTTCATCGCATATCGCTCGTTAGATGCAAATGCTGCAAAGGAGGCAACGCTAGCATTCGCATAGCTCTCTTTCGTGACTACAACCTCTCGCGAGCAAGCAAGCAATCAAGCAGACCAGGCAGCCGAGCAACGAATCACAGCCTTGCAGGTCCCAACATGCAGTGTTTCGTGGAACAAAGCGGACGCGGCGACCAGTGGCTGTAGCGCATGTTGAATTTCTCGTGGTGTTTAAGAGTGAAAGGAGTAGCCCCCAAAGCTAAAACGGCAAAGGGCTGGCCGTGTCCGCACTTAGCCCAAACACCTCGGTTTCCAGGTTCATCGCCAACGGATTTGGATGCTCTGCATCCCGCTGCGACTGCTGGAGAAGTCGGGCATGTGTGAGGAGGAGGTTGCGGAGTACGCTTGCCGTCTCATGGACACCTTGTGCACGACCCAGGTCAGGGCTCCCTATCCTTTTTGGGGTTTAACATTTGAAATCCTTTTTGGCTTTTTGGGGTTTAACATTTAAAATGTTTAAATTTAAGAGTTTACGCGCCGCGGTTGGGCGATTTGAAACGGAGTTTCGTTTTGTTAGGGCGTTGATGAAGAAGCGACGCAGATGTAGACGCGCAGAGTCGCAGAGCAAACCCTGGAGGTGCGCCCATTACAGCACTTTGTGCTGCCACGGGATCACGAGGCGGTGCTTCGAGAATATGACGATGCCATCTCCCTCAAGGAGAAGCGGGACCTGCGAGTCGCCGCTGTTGCACGCGGGCAAGCCAAGCGCAAGCGTGCCGCCTTGGTGTCTGCGGACCGCTTCGTTCGCATCATGGAGCAGAGGGGGGAGGAGTGGTGGCTAAGCTCTGTGCCTGATCCTGATGTTTTGCAACAGTTCCCCGGCCTTTGCCGCCTGACTGAGCGCCAGTTCGATCTGTGCAAGTTGCAAGAGATTCAGTTTCCGGACCAAAGGAAAGCCTGTGTCGAGCTGTCCCAGAATCAGAGAAGCTCTTCGAACGTTAAGGGTGTGAAGGTCGGGCTGTGTGAAATCATAACGCCTACAGGCCAGCTGCTGGTTACACACCAGGCACGTTGTTTGACAGGCTTCGAGTGCCTGCTCATGCAAGGGATTCACTTTGGCAGGCAGAATGAAAACACCTGGAATGAATTTCCAGATGATCTCCTGCGAAATTTGGCAGGCAATGCTTTCAACTGTTGGTGTGTAGCCGCTGTCTACCTTGTAAAGGAGGCAGTTCTGGCAAGATGTCATGCCCGGGAGCAGATTCGTGCGCGGGCCTCTGGCGCAGAGACTGTTCTTTCTCGTGGAATTTCCCACTCGACGGATTTGAGTGATTTTTGCGAGTGGCCGAGTCCTTTTAATGCTGATTGAGGGCTGCCGAGCCTGGGGAGAGCCTGACTTCAAGGTCCGTGTTAAAGCCGTGCTACAATTGTTGTTATTGTGTTGCCCAGGACGCAGGCCGTACATCAGAGCCAATTTAATTAAATTGCGTCCTGCTGCGCGCTCAAGCTGACCGAGCCTGGGAAAAGCCAGTCAACGACCGACGGCGGTTGTTGTGTCAACGACTGAGATAGGGTTCTCGCAAGACAGGTGACAGGCTGCGTGTTCCTTGTTTGCCGGCGGCTGTGAGAGAAAGAAACTGTGTTCCAGATGCAACACGACACGCTAACCAAAGGAAACTTAGTCTTAGCCGTTGTATTGGAACTGATTGAGGTTAGCCGTATATGAAAGGGTTCTGAAAGATCTGTCTTAGACTATTAGAAGAGTCTTTGAAACCTCCGCTCCCCGGACTACCACGCAGGCTTCATCGCTTTTTACAGGGTTCGGTGGAAGGGTTCAAAGTTCATTGTCGTTGTGTCGTTGACTGTCATTGAAGCCATGGAAGCCCTTGCATCATGGCTCATAGGCTTTGGCTTTGGCAAAAGGCTTTCATTTCCATTGCATGCTGATCACAGAAATCATGTAGCATCGAAATGATAGGTCTTTTGCTTTGGTTTGGCTTGCTGCTTTTGGGCGTCGCTGTTTGGCTTCGTGCTTTGGCTGGTCGCTGTTTGGTTCGGTTTGGCGCTCTGAGTGCTTTGCTGCGCTGTTTGGCGTCGTGCTCTGACCCGGTCTATGTTCGGCTTGGTGAACTCCCAACGCAAAGGGTTGGCCCCGCGCCCTCAGCATCACCAGTCCGCATCCCTCGCTGTCCCGGTGTTCTTTTACTTCGGCGTCTTACATTTAAAAGAACACGCCCCGCGCCCTCAGCATCACCAGTCCGCATCCCTCGCTATCCCGGTGTTCTTTTACTTCGGCGTCTTACATTTAAAAGAACACCCCGCGCCCTCAGCATCACCAGTCCGCATCCCTCGCTGTCCCGGTGTTCTTTTACTTCGGCGTCTTACATTTAAAAGAACACGCCCCGCGCCCTCAGCATCACCAGTCCGCATCCCTCGCTGTCCCGGTGTTCTTTTACTTCGGCGTCTTACATTTAAAAGAACACGCCCCGCGCCCTCCACATCACCATCACGCATCCCCATACCTTGGTCCGGTGTTCTTTTACTCGCGTCTTACATTTTAAAAGAACACGCCCAACCCGCGCCCTCAGCATCACCAGTCCGCATCCCTCGCTGTCTCGGTGTTCTTTTACTTCGGCGTCTTACATTTAAAAGAACACGCCCCGCGCCCTCAGCATCACCAGTCCGCATCCCTCGCTGCCCCGGTGTTCTTTTACTTCGGCGTCTTACATTTAAAAGAACACGCCCCGCGCCCTCAGCATCACCAGTCCGCATCCATCACCTGCCACACCCCTCGCTGTCCCGGCGGTCCGGCTTACCTTCGCAGTTCTTTCTATTGGTTCTGCTCCTGTATCATTATTGCGCAGGCGTTTTTTGGCCAGGCGCGTGGGAATCCTGGTAGTGCTCGCTAGTGGCGGACCCTGCCAGTCCTTTGCGCCCATGAGTGCCCCATCGCTGGCTTCGGAGACAAGCCAAGCGTCGCAATCGGCTAATTGGGGCACCAAGAAGTTCAGCGGCTGCAAATATTGCAGGCGTGACCGCACTTGGCCGAACCCGAATACCCACAACCGTGCGCCTTGTACTTGATCTAACGTCGGATTTTCATGTTCAGGTCTTGGAAAGTTTAACAGTCAGGAGGGCTACTCCGGGAAATTTTTAGAAAACTTTTAGATGTCTGTTAGATGTTTTGGATTGCTCAACCCTACCTGGCACTGCTAAGGAGGCGCGTCCCCACCTCATGTTCAAATCCGATCGTCATGGCGAATGCCTCCCGTGCCTGGCGTTCATCCGCAAGGTTCATCCCGACAAGGCCTCCAGTGAGGGGAGGACCAATCTGGCCAAGACCTTGGCCGGCAACGAGACGCTTTACCAGGAGCTGCGTGTTTGATTTGAATGCGCCGTTTTCCATTTACTGGGCTTCAAGACTCGCCTCGAGACATGTCAGGTCCAGGTCCAAGCCATATCCAGGCATGTGTCACATGTCCTTGAAACTGAAAGCGCTCAAGGCGCCCTGTTCTGACCTTCTTTTCACATGGTAGCGTTTTAGCAGCTTAGCGTTGAGCTGGAGCTGGTTTACCTTGCCACCCACTTATCATTCCACCCATTCCGCAACCCAGGAGTACACCGCAGAGCTGGGCCAGTTCGAGGAGACGTTCGTCAACATCCCGCAAGCATCCAAGAAGCGGAAGCTGAAGGATGGTGAGGAGGTGCTGGGTGGCTCTGAGCAGGCAGTGACCATGAAGCGTTGCCTGACTAGCAGATGTTTTCTTCATTTTGTGTTTGACTCGGCGTTTGGGTTTCGGCTTTCATTGCCGCCTTTTTTGGTAAAGCTGGTGGTGTTGCTACCCAAAGCTTCAGAAGCCACTCAACCACCCAACCCCCCCGTTTCTGGCATGGGCTCATTTGTGGGTCAGGAATGTGGAGTCCGGCTTGGAGTTGCGCAAGAGTCTGGGCGTGCTTTGGCCGACGGACTTGTTCAAGCAGGAGATGCAGCGGGATCCCTTGCCGAACGAGGTGACAAAGGTGGTGCAAGATGGCGTCGCCATCAGTGGCATTTTGCGTGCGCCGCGTCGGCAGTTATTACATACGATTAACTAGTACAGTGCAGATGAAAAGCGAGGATAGTTGCAGCTCAAAGTGCGCCATGCTGTGTGACGGCGCAGCTTCCGGTGATTGGATTTCGTGTTTGTTTGAGGGGTGCTTGCGTGTAAAAGTCAGTAGCTAGTAGTAATAAAAGGAACGTTTTGTCCTCTTCGCCTTTTGAACTTCGGGCCTCGGCCCTTCGTCCAAGTCCTTGGTCCGTTGGTCGGCTGGTCATCAAATGAGGCTTCGCTTGTTGAAAGGTTCTGTTTTTGGGAGTGCTTCTTCTAGCAATGTTGGAACTCATCGCAGATTTCGTGTTGCCCTACCTTCACGAAGACTTACCTGTTTGTTGTTTGTTTGTTTGTTTGTTCGTTTGTCATTTGACATTCCTTGGGATGGTGTGCCGCCAGGACAAGAAGTTCGGTGTGCCGCCAGGGTGCACTGAGATCATCGACTTGAAGCGATCTTACGGCCAGAAGGTCATGGAGGCGGCCAGCAGTTCCACGGCCATCGGCAAGAATGAGGTGGAGAACACGTGGAGGCACGTCGCCAAGGCGAACACGTTCAACGTGAGCGAGGTGAAGGACGCCGACGGCAGCCTTGCAGTAACTTCTGGGGCTCCCAAGCGTGGGCGCGACGACTTCGATGACTTGGTGGACTTCAGTTTTAGCTTGTCCTCCTCTGGCCCACCTCCCAAGAAAGGCGCGCGGCAAGCGGGCGTGGGAAACCTGTGTGATTGCGCGGCTGTAGATGATTCCAAACACAAATTTCAATTAGCAATTGCAAAGGTATCTGCTGCAACCTACTGCAGTTAACGGCTAACGGCCAACGGTGTAGCCTGCGTGTGGAGGCAAAACACAGTTATGACTCACGAATCATGACCATGGACCATGCCTCCATGACGGCCCATGACTCCATAGGTCCATAGCTAATTCGCAACAATTAGGGTGGTTGCAGCTGTTCTGTTGGGTTGTTTGGATTTATGATGGCAGCGCAACAGTATCATGTCAACGTGCATTTTTGGCGATTCTATCGCAACCTTTGGCCAACTTTGTTTGTCGCTAGGCGCAACTCGAGGAGGCAATCCTCGCCCGCGGGGTCCGGGCGCAGATCCAGAACCTGCGCCGCCTGCGCCCAAAGGCAGCGGGAGAGGGGGCGTGGCGAACTTGTGTTCTGCAAGAGTGACGTGTATTTTCTATAGCGCGATAAAAATGATATTGAATTGACTTGGTTCGATATTTGATCAAAAAGGTCCTTGTAGGGAATTGAATAAGGTTAAATAAAGTTGTTCAGGACCACAGCGCTGCAGGCGTTTGTGTCTGTGGAGGATCCGTGAAGGAGCCTGCGAACATACTTTTCTTTCGCGACACACTTCATTTGCATCCTAAGTTCCAGGTCCATGCCTGTGCTGAGAGCTGCGCAAATCAACACGTTGGCTGGGCATAGCCTACTCTCAGGAGTCATAGACAAATAGACAAATAGAGTCATCATGCGTTTGGGTTCTTTTGTGTTCCTGCTGCTTGCGGTGATAACTGTTTGCGGCGGTTGCCTTTGCAGTTTGCGTGTTTTAGGATTTTAGGGCATTTAGCTGTGCAACAGGCTTAAAATTGAAGCTATCTTGAACATCGAGGTACAGAAATAGTCGGTTTGCCGGACACACCTTGGTTTCGTACGTCTAAGGCAAGCGATGCACACAGACCCTGGCTTCCTGTGTTTGCTAGCGTGTGCGTGTGCGTGTGCGTGTGCGTGTGTGTGTGTGTGTGTGTGTGTGTGTGTGTGTGTGTGTGTGTGTGTGTGTGTGTGTGTGTGTGTGTGTGGTGTGTGTTTCTGTGTTGTGTGTGCTTGTGGCGTGTGTGTGTTGATGTTTGTGTGTGTGCGATGTGCGTGTGCGTGTGCGTGGTGCGTGTGCGTGTCTGCTGTTGTGCGGGTGCGTGTGCGGTGCGTGTGCGTAGTGCTTGTGCGTGGTGCTGCGCATTGCGGCGTGCAGGCTGGTAGCCTGGAGCGCCGTGCGCGTGCGCTTGCGCGTAGTGCTGGTGCGTAGTGTGGATGCTTTGGGCGTGTGCGTAGTGCGTGTGCGCGGTGCGTGTGCCGCGTATCTGCGTGTGTGCGTGTGCGTGTGCGTGTGTGTTTGTTTGTGTGTCTGTGTGTGTGTGTGCGTGTGGTGTGTTCCTGTGTTTTTGTTTGCACGTTTGCGCTTGCGACTGCTGGCGCCTTTTTATGTTTGTGCCCTCGTTTGTTACCGCATGCCGCACGTGTGTTTGTGACTTATGTGTGTGTTGGCGACTTTTGGGATTGTTTGCTTGCACGTTCAAGTTTGGGCTGGACCTGTGCGTGTTTCTCAAGAGTGGCTCATGCGCAGGCAAAGCAGCTCCTCGACCTGGTGGCATGTCTGCTAAAGCCCTCAAGGAGATCCAGAGCGCGCAGCGGCTTTGCTTGGAGTGCGAGCAAGTCATTGAGAACTGCCAGAGCGCGTTTGCGTGGGAGACCATGACGGTCAAGCAGGCAGCGGTGTTGCTGGAAAGGTTGAAGGGGAAGCTCACGCCTACTCTCATCTCCATGCGCCTTGGCAGACATGAAGCTTTTCCAAAGTGACCCTTTCTTTTCAGGCCCGTTGCAGGGTTTGTGTCTGGCTTGGGATTGTGCTCAGAAGTCTACCGCACAAAGTCTTTTCAGGCAGTTGTGTTGCGGGGTTGCTGGAATCCTGGAGCCTGTAGGTACTCCGCCGGCTACGACGCTTTGGCGGCGACTGCTGACCCACTTCCGCAGGGCATGGCTTGCCTAGAGAACCTGCGCAAGAGCCAGCGCGTCATGAAGCTGGTGCATCAGATGCTCGAGGCGGTTAACGACAAGGACCTTTCGGGGGCCGACTTGCTGCAGCAGGTGATGGCTTGCGAAACCCCGGAGTTCAAGCCACCTGACGGCATCAAGCAGCTTGCGTTGCAGCGGGACTTGGAGGGCGCAGCCAAGAACAATCAGTATGACCGCTTGCTTCACCTCCTCAGCAATGATAACGACGGATTCTCCTTGGCCATTCTCGATGACGAGAAAGAGAAGGTCAATTTCCAGGCTCGGGAGATCACGAAAGTTTGCGCCAACCTCCTCCGCGAGGAGGGCAAGATGACTGAGGTGCAGAGCTTTATCGGGGCCATCCACACTGCGGCCATTTTGAAGCCTGAGCTTCCGCTCGCAAAGGACTGGCCGAGTTGGCTACCATGGGCCGGGGGATGTTGCGCTTTTAGACACATTGAGTTTTGCGGCCCAACATGTTTGCCCATTTTGGCCCAATTCGGCCAACAGTCAACCAGTTTCTTCACTTGATGACCAATGTTCAGGAGATTTCAGGAGGCAAGCGCAGGCAAGTGCTTAGTTGGCCTAGTTGACTTTGACTCGACTTTGACTTAGTGAGCTTTTCACACCACTCATCTAGAGGCAGGCTCCCTTTTTGAGGCAAATTGTAGTGGACCCCGCCCGGATAACTTCAAACCATGAACTTTATGCCCTTAGGCTTAGGCCCTTAAGGCCCTTAAGCCCTTAGGCTCTTCGGCCCTGTTTTTTAAGTGTCCAGGAGTTGTCCATGCTGCAAATCCTGCTGCACCCAATGTCTGGGGGGCATACCACTGACGACCTGGCGCGCGCGGTCGACAGCTTCAGGTCAACCCGCAGCTTCACGCTGCACAAACTGCTGACCAACTTCCCAACAGGGATGGCGATCCTTGACGGAGCTGCAGAAGCAGTTCAGGTCAGAGGAAGAGACGCGGGCCAGCTGGCAATCCTTG